AATAGCGGCCACAACAGTAGATGTCTTCCAATGGCGACCGCCAGCTGTAGGTGTCTCAAAATGGCGGCTGCAACCCGAAGGTGCTTCAAAATGGCGGCCGCCAGCAGTTGTCTCAAAATGGCGGCCCAAAGGTCCGTCAAGTTGGTGACCGCCGCGTGGCCGACAGTGAGATGAGCGGTCAAGTATCCAAAAGGCTGAAACCAATGCCCCGGTATGGCGCCAAGGTCACTCTCACCTGGTCGCCGCTATTCTGCTGTCACAACAGTCCAAGCACCTAAGAGCACGCACGAGGACCATGCCACCACTCTGGAACTGCTCGCTAGGCGAGAGCTACGTAGAATGGCGGTGGTGGCTTCTAAAGCCTGTCACATCCACCGGCGGCTGAGAAATTGAAGCCGGATCTGCCCCAAAGGGAACAGACTCCGGCGGCTGCTGACAGCGCTAAGCGCGGGCGACCTGTAGCCCCAGACACATCACGCGCGCCCTGCAGCAAGATGGTCTTCTGCTCTCTCCAAATAGTAAAATAATCAAAAATAAATAAACTTCCTGAACGAGCCTAGTAAAATACTAGAACAACAGAAATAACAGGGTAGAACCCAATGCTCTGAAAAGACATGTCAGTTCTGTCAGCAACTGAGTGAAAGACTGGAGGATCATGGGATTGTGGGCGTGGTGAAGCAGGAAGAATTTAAATTTTTGTTCTCACTCAGTTCCTGTCAAAAGATGAGGAAGTAACCCAGCTATGGAAAAAAAATGATTTTTTAAAAAATATACATGATATAGTAAAGGATTTGGAATATGAGAATATTTGTATTATAGGTGACTTCAATGCAATCACGGACATAAAAAAGAGATTATCAGAGTAATAAGAAAAATAAAACTAAGAAAAAGACACTTCCACATACGTTTAAAGAGATGATACAGGAACTATGTCTCCAAGATGTATGGAGGGAGGTGAATAAAGAGAAAAAACAGTATACATTCTATTCTAGCCCACATCAATCATGGTCTAGAATAGACATGGTGTGGGTGACGACAGAACTCAGAAAAGAAGTAGAAGAGGTAGAAATAATGACAAATACCTGGGTAGACCATAACCCGGTAAAAGTAATATGGAAAGGACAACGGAGAAGAAAAAGATGGATGATAAACAAGGAAATATTAAAGGATAAAGAATACGTACAGATGATGGAAAAAGAAATATATTCTTCAAGATAAACACAAAAGAACAAACCTCACTTCAAAATTTATGGGACACAGCGAAAGCGTATATAAGAGGCCTGACAATTGCATACATGGTAAAGAAAAATAAAGATAAACAACAAATACGAGATAACCTGTTAAAAGAGCTTAAAAAATATGAATTCGAGTTACAGAAGGAACCCCAAAATAAAATGATCAAAGGAAAAATAAATTTGATAAAGCACAAAATTAATTTGATTACACAAACAGAAATAGCAAGAGAAATTAAATCAGCAAAACAAAATCACTTTGAACATGCAAATAAAACAAGAGGATGGTTGGTTTATAAATTGAAAAAAGAAAAGGAGAAAAGAACAATACACCAACTACACAGGAGAGATACATTATAGAAATGAGGATAAAAAAAATGTAGGGAAAACCTTTTTCAAAAATTATATAAGCAATAGGAGATATTGGAAGAAGATATCAAATAATACTTAAATGAATCAGACGTAAAAGGACTAGAAGAATCACATAGGGAACTACTGAACAGGCCAATTAATATGATAGAACTAATTGAGACAAGAAACAAACAGAAAAATAATGAAACTCCAGGACCAGATGGCATACCGGCAGAATTCTACAAGACATGTCACTACCCAATAAATGAAATTTTACTTGAAACCTTTAATGATGCACTCCTGAAAGCCACAATTCCCAAATCTTGGACCGAAGCTATTATTACACTTATTCCAAAAGAGGAGACGGACCAAACAGAAACCAAAAATTATAGACCAATATCATTAAATGTAGATTACAAATTATTTACACTGATTATCGTAGAAAGTCTAAAAAAAGTAATAAATGAATACATCAACCCTAATCAAAACGGCTTCCTCCCAAAAAGACAAATAAAAAACAATATGAGATTAATAATTGACGTACTGAAATACTATGAAAAATATTCAGATAAACAAATGACATTGATTTTCTTGGATGCACAGAAGGCCTTTGACAATCTAAATTGGAAATTTCTCATACTACAATTGGAAAATATGAAATTTGGGGATAAATTTGTAAACATGATAAAGAAAATTTACTCTTCCCAAACCGCAAAAATAACAATAAATGGAGATACGACGGAACAATTTACAATTTCAAAAGGAGTGAGACAGGGGTGTCCTCTATCTTCCTAGTTGTTTATATTATCTTTAGAGATATTACTAAATGAAATTAGAAAAGACAAAGAAATTAAAGGATTGAAATAAATAAAGTTAATAATATTTATATTTATAAATATTTATATATTTATAAATAAATAAATAAATAAAGTTAAAAAAGAGGAGTATAAACTTCAAGCTTTCTCCGACTATATGGTTTTTATTATAGAGCATCCAACATTAACAGAACCTAAACTACTAGCAAGAATAGAAGAATATGGGAGAATAGCTGGATTTAAAATTAACAAGCAAAAAACAAAGGCATTAACGAAAAATCTTACAAAACAGCAAGAGAAGGAATTAGAAGATAAAATGGGGATAAAAATGACAAAAAAGGTAAAATACTTAGGAATATGGCTTACTAACAAAGGATCATCGATTAGAGAAGATAACTACAACAAACTAACAAGTCAGATAAAAAAAGATTTAGAAATTTGAAGTAAATTACAATTATCATTCCTTGGAAATATAGCCTTGATTAAAATGAATGTGTTACCCAGAATGCTATTCCTATTTCAAGTGATTCCGATAAAACTGGGGAAGAACTTTTTTAAAGACTTCAACAAATTGATCGCAAACTACATCTGGCAGGGAAAGAAAGCAAAGATCAAAATAAAACACTTACAAGATACAAGGGAGAGAGGAGGACTAGCACTACCGGACTGGGAAACATACTATAAAGCATCTTCATTGATTTGGATTAAGGACCGAATAGAACTTAAAAACAAAAGAATACTGACATTAGAAGGATTTGATCTACAAAGAGGGTGGCATGCCTTCCTGTGGGAGGGAAAAAACAGGCAACATGGATACTTCCAAAGACATGTTATCAGAGAAGCATTGTTCCAGACATGGCAGGCGATAAAAAGGACACACTATGATAATATTCTGGAATGGCTATCTACTATGGAGGCTCAGATATACCCTAATGCTATGGATACTGCCAAAATGAAAACCTATAAAGACCTGCTGAACAACCAAGGCGAACTAAGATCAAGACAAGAGCTGAAAGAACTGGGTACAGACATTGATTGGTGGCCATACATGCAAATAAAATCTAGATATAGGACAGATTCGGCACAATTTGGATTTCAAAAAGGACCATATGAATTAGATAAAATTTTACAGGGAACAGATGACAAATTGATTAAAAAAAACCTTATAATTACCTATTAAGATATAAATTAGAAGGTCAAAGAAAACATAACTTGGGCGAAAAATTTTGGATATAATATTGAATTAGAAAAATGGGAAAAATTATGGAATACAAATTATAAACTAACAATGTCTGTACCCTATAAAGAAAATATGTACAAAATGTTTTATAGGTGGCACCTTCCGCCTGCCAGACTAGCAAAGATGTTCCCGAACGCCTCCCCAATATGCTGGAAATGCAAACACCAAAAAAGAAGCCTATTACCATATGTGGTGGTCCTGTCAGAAAGCAAAACAATTTTGGCAAACAATTAGAATACATATAGAAGAAATTATAAAACAAAAATTAGAAATGAGGCCAGAAACCTTCTTATTAGGAATAATTACTGGACAATATGAAAAAGAAATAAAATATTTAATCATCCACATATTGACAGCTGCACAAATAGTCTTCGCCCAAAATTGGAAAAATAATGATATACCAATGGAAGATAAAGTGATTAGTAAAATTATGGAATGTGTGGAAATGGACAAGCTTACAAAGGAGATACAAGAAAAGGTATGGAAATAAACGAGAAGATATAAATTACGGATAGGAAATTAAGTACCAACTTAGGGTAATAGTAAATCAAACAGGTAGATGAAGAGATCAAAAAAGAGACGAGATATTAGGAATATAGGTATAAGAAATATGTTAGAATAAAAAAGAGAGAATGTATAATTTTGAATATAGCTTACTGTTGCAACAAGTTGAAAAGATGTAAAGATGGATTTTTGTTTATTTGTTTGTGTGTTGTATTGTTGTTTGTATGTTTATTTGTATTGTTCTCTTTTTTTATTTTAAAAAAAAGTTTAATAAAATATATATTTTTAAAAATAGAATTTAAACCTGAACTGTTTCTTCTGGGGATTATTAAAGAAAATTATCCTAAAAGGATAAAATATTTAATTATTCATATAACTATAGCAGCTAGAATCGTACTTGCGCAAGCTTGGAAAATGTCCACTATTCCAACAGACTGTGCAATAATCTGGAAAATTTTCGAATGTGCAGAAATGGACAAACTTACTTTAGAATTAAATAATAAGGAAGATTTGGAATATTACTTAACTTGAAATAATTGGTATCAATGGATAGAAATTAAAAATAAGGAATGTATAGAACAAAATAAGATATAAAATGTGATTAAATATGTCGTTTAAGTCGGAATATGTGGGAATAGATGAAGAAAGTTAAGAATTAAGTACTGTCAGAAAGACATTGAATTGTATAATTATTATGGATGTATTTTTGTTATAGAAGTATTTTAATTTGTATTTTTGGATTTTAAGTGTTAATAAAGGTTTTTCAAAAAAAAAACCCCAAAACCCCCTGTATTTCTATTATTCCAATATCTCAATATTTAAGAAACTTCTAATCAAGTTACATCAATCCCCTAGTTATACTTACAAAACCCCACATTTTATTTCATAATAGTTTACAGCCTTATAGTTCCCTAATTGTCCAAATTTTAAACTTTTATTTCCTTCTTCTCTCTTTTCTTCTGAACTTTTCTTCTTTTGCCTCTTAGAATATTCTATTAAATAACATTAATAGTCCAAGTCCAAATTTGTCCAGGTTAGTCCACTAAGTTCTTCCAGTCTTTCCAATCCATAATCCAATAGTCAATTATGATGTTTGTGTGTCTATATTTTTCTTGACTGTACACCGCCTTGAGTCCTACGGGAGAAAGGCGTATAGAAATATAATAAATAAATAAATAAATAAATAAATTTTAATAAGATTTAGTTATTTGCAAATTAGTTCCTTTCCTTTGTAATTCCTATACTGTGGCTATAGTGTTGTAGTACTTCTCTTTCTCCAGTAGATGACTCTCTTATGCCCCGATCCAACCTAAGCAATCTGTCAAAAACAGCTGATTGTTGGATAAATCCAAGGGGTTTAGAAATTTAAATAAACAAATAATTTCTCCCTAAAGTTGCTTTCAAATTATTTGGGCTTTTTTCCACGCTGTTTGTATTTTTTATAATTTCACTTGGGCTTTTTTTCGCCTTTCGTTTCTGGTTTTTTTTCCCCTCCATGTATCAATTTGCTGCTATTTTAAGTTTAGGAGTTTTCTTTTCATATTCTTTTTTGTTATTGCAAGTCATTAAAGTAATGACTCTCACCCAATTTCAATGTTCTGTCCATACACCGCTCCTGCACAATCTTGGTTCCTGATTGTCCTGGCTTTGTCGCTGCCAGCAATGGCAGCCGGGCCTGCTGCCATTTGGGGAGAGCTTGCTTTGGACCTAATGAGGAATTTGCTAATTCCACATGGTCAGCAAAGCACCTCTCCTTCCTTCACCTTCACCAAGATGGCTGTGACCCCAAAGGGTCACCTGGCAGCGGTTACCAGCTGGATTTTCACGGGGCTCAGCAGAGCCCATTATTTTCCAGCTGTTCTCACTGAGGTTGCAACCGGAAGTCATTTTCCATCATTCTTGAAGCTTTATGTATACAGGCGGGCCTGGACTGATGACCTAATACTGATGACTAATGTTTAACCCGTGGTTCAAAATTACAATGGCCTCAGAAAAAAATGATTTAAAATCTGTCCTTAAAATTACCATCATATCACCCTCATGATTTCCTGATTGCAATTTGGGTACTTGGTCAATTGATTGTGATTTGCGACCTTCTCTGAGTGCTTCCAATAAGCAAAGTCAATAGGATAAGCCAGATTCACTTAAAGACTGTGTGATTCACTTAATGACCATGTAAAAATGGTCATTAACTTGCTGTCAGGTTCCGTAAAGTATGGGAAAAAAACCTCTAGCACATAAAAGCAGTAACCAAGTTTGTTTATCCTGATATCGGTACTAACTAACCACCTTAAAGTGTTACAGAAAGGAATCTTTGTTGGAGCTGATGCTCTGTGCTCCCCATCACCCTTTAAGCAGCATACAGCTCCACTCCAGTGCAATCACTCAATTATCCAATTAACCCGTATCCTCCCTCTCCCTCCTCAATCCATCGGAAGTCACTCTAATTCTGCTTTGTCTTTCCTTAAAGTGATGGATGGGGAGAAACTGCTTCAGTGCATGCCCCTGAAGTCTAGCATGCTGCTGGGGAGTCTAAGTGAAAGGCATGCATTGGGGCTGAAAACCCAGCAGAGCAGGCACACAGGAAGAGTTGTTACCGGTTTCTTCTGCAGGTGCGCTGCTATGGTGGCCAAGATTTTTGTGAAGCACCGTGGGGCTGAGGCCAGCCTGAAAATCAGAGCCCTGTATTGTAGGTGCCTGCCCGCATAGCAGAAGCGCAGGTACTTTCGATGGGCCGGCAGAATAGGAATATGGAGGTAAGCCTCCATGAGGTCTATGAAGACCAGAAAGTCGTTGGGACAAGTTCTTTGTAATATGGAGGTTAGGGAACACATTTTGAACCTGCGGTAGACAATATGGGTATTGAGAGATTTTAAATCTAAAATCGCCCTGCACCAAGTGCTCCGGCACAACAAACAGAGTGGAGTAGTAGCCCTGCTTCCACTGGCTTTTTGGAACTGCCTCTATGGCCCGAATCTGGAGGAGGTGTTGAATAGCTTGTTCCATGAGCGTTTGCCTGGTATTGTTGTGGGAGATTGGACACTGTATGAAGCGTCCGGTTTGGTGGTTGGGAGAGGAAACTCTAGGGGAAATCTGAATTTGACTGCGGTGAGGACCCAACTGTCTGAAGTTGTGAGTTCCCACCTGTCCGCGAAGAGAGCCAAATGGCACCCCATGGGAGGATCAGGCAGTGAGTCATTTACGGCTGCAGGATTGGCAGTAGCCGGAACACCAATGGCCGCTTGGACTGGTGGAACTGCTTGGGTCTGTCCCGAAAGGGCTGATGATCAGCTGGGCGAGCTGGTCCTTGAGAAAAGAACTGGGAAGGATCTCTCTGCACCTAGGCACGAAAGGGCTGCTTCCTGTAAATGGGAGTAGACCACCTGTCAGCCCACCTAGTGGATGAAGGTAGAATTTTACAGTTGTCTCTAGTTTCTATGAGGAGCAGGTCTAATGATTCGCCAAAGAGTTCCCCCCCCAGTGTAAGGAGCTGCAGCCAGCCACCATTTGGCCTTCAGGTCTGCTGGCCACTGACAGAGCCATAGCAACCTCTGGGCCGACACTGCAGATGCCAGGGCCCTCAGCAGAAAACTGGGTAGCAGCGATAATTTTGTTGATGTCTTGATGAAGACGAGCTTTGCTAGGGGCTACCCGGCTTGCAACTGCTGAAGCCACAGAATAGTGGTGCGGTTGAAGAAAGAGGCTGAGGAAGTTGCCCGGATAGCCCAGGCCGCAGCCAGGTGATTCTTTTTGAACAAGAGATCGAATTTCTTGTCCTCAGGACGGAGGCCTTCTGACGTATTCCCAGCTAAATAAGATGAAGAAGAGGATAGAGCTGTGACTGGCCTGTCCACCGGGGGAACCTGCAACTATTGGGCGAACCTGGGAGTTACAGAGTAATATTTTCTATCAGACCCATTCGCTGTGGGAATGGCTGCTGAGCTTGACCATTGCTTTTGCGCCACATTGATTGTGGAGCTGGAACAAAGAACTGCTCTGGCGCAGGCTCAGAAAAAAGCCCCTATGGTTGCTCCTGCTGGACATCCTGAGCTTCCTTAGGGTTATCGTCCCCCTTTATGGCTGATGTGGTTCATGCCTTCTGTAGCAAGGAAATGAACCAGTTTGGAGAAAACAGCCCCTTGATCATATACCCCTTCATCATCTGAGAAATCAGAGTGATGTTCGTCCTCCAAGGCAAAAACCTCACTGCCTCTGGAATGAGAGCCGGTCAGGTGAATGAGAGCCGGTCAAGCTAGCTGAAGGGGAGACTCAAACACATGCAGGCTGTTCTGAAACCACTGATTCCGAATGATGACCTTGGAATACAGTCGCCATGCAAGAGGCAAGGCCTGATCAATAAGGAGTTGTAGATCTTTGGGCAGGTCCCTGAAAAGGTCAGAGGCATGTCTAATAGCTGAAGTCGAGGCACTTGTTGAAGCTGCCAATGCTGATGCACTGCCAAGGTCTGCTGGTACTGATGGAGCTAACTGGCAATCAAAGGGATTGTGAATGTGGCCCTGTTCCCCAGAGGTCAACAAGGCTGGACCCATGGAAGTCTCTCCTGCCCCTTCAGGGGATCAGGCCTGTGGCAAGGGAGATGAGGCGTGACTCTGAGATCGATGGGAGGGAGATGGATTACTTGATCAAATTTCCCTTGCAGCCAATTATAGGACAGCTTTGGAGACTTGCCTTTCTAAGGACTTGTGCCTCTGTTCGTGATCTTTGATCTCTGCCTTAGAAGGGGCATTCTACTTACCTGAACATTCCTTCTATGTGTGCTGCAGGTGAGTCCAAGCAATGGGTTCAATTTGTCTGATTGGCCAGATACTGAGTTGCAAAATCTTTGGCCATGCCTGCTCCTTCCGTCTGAGCCTCAGTTTTTTCAATGAACCTCAGATCTGGAGAAGACGTAGTCCATGTGATGACCGACCACTCCTGGACCCTGGACAATACCAGAATCAGGATGGGATTGGACTCACCTGCAGTGCACATAGAAGGAACATTCAGGTAAGTAGAACGCCTCTTCTCCTGTGTGCTGCTTGGTGAGTCCAAGCAATGGGATATACCCAAGCTAATTTGATGTTGGGCGGGAGAGAGATCAGTCCAGGGTCCCCTCGGCTAACAGGACTCACTGCAACACTTCTCTCCCAAATGCTGCCTCCGAAGAAGCAAAAATGTCCAGCTTGTAATTTCTCACAAAAGGAGAAGGGAAAGCCCTCATGGTTGCCCTGCAGATCTCCAGGATGGAAGCCTGGGTGGCCCAAGCTGCCATGTTGGCAGCATCTCTAGTCCAGGTCTTAATAAAAGGTGCCAAAGCGGCAAAACAGCTTATAAGCGCAAGGCCAACGATAACTATGGTGGTAGGGGCAAAAAGGGTGCGAAAACTGGCAACACGGCTCACAAATGCCTGCCCAAAAAGCGTGAAAATCAGCAACACGGTCCACAAGCACTTCTTCAGTTGCCTCTCACTCTCCTGACCGAAGCCTCAGTTGTCGGAGGCAACAAAATGGCATCTGCACGCCTCTCGGAGCTCTCCCTCACTCCCAGCAGCAAGCAGGCACAATTGCAAGAAGAGTCACTGCCCACAAAATGGCGATTGGCTCCGATCTCTGCACGGCTTCCAAACCTCACTCTGCCAAACGCTGCAGCTAGCCACGCTCTCCACGGTGATTCTGGCTGTCTCCTGCTGTTTCCAGCTGCTGCGCTGCTTCTGGATCACCTGGCACGCTAGGAGCTGATCCCGCAGCAATAGCGGCCCCTGCTGTATCGCAGGGCCGATCTCTGAGGCAACCACCGCACTCACTTGCTCAAGCCACAATTTTAAAGTAACAGGATTTTTTTTCCAAACCAATTAATCTCTAATAATAATAATAATAAATGTGTTTAGCAACTCAGAAGGGGCATTGGTCCTACCTGAGACGCACCTTCTTGTTGGGTGGAGACAGCAGCCAGGAATGGGTGTTCTCGCCTGTTCAGCTTGAAGGACTGAGTCTGTAGCAAAATTAAGCTCCTCCCTTGTTGCTAGGGATCTCCAGCTTTTTACGAAGACAAACAACAGACTCGACGTCTCGGGAGAAAGAAAGAAAGATTATGGAAAAAAGACCAGACAGTCCAAGGGTAGGGCTGGCTGCTGTC